GATCTTGATTGAATTGTTTGAGGCAAATGTTTATTGATACTGAAAGAAAGACGATTTGGTTCCAAGTTGTCAAAGGGCTCGCAATACTAAGTCGTCAATGATGTTAAGATCTCCTGTTATAACATGTTGTGGAAGGACGACATATTTTTGGTAAGAGGTAGTGGCAATTACACATGCTATTTCTTGTATCTCGTTGTGTTGATAACGAGTTGACTAATTCTTTTAAAGCAGGGCTTAATTTGTAGTTTGTTGTTCAGAGCAGTGTTGATATTTTTTAAAAATGCTAGGTATTTTTAGTTTATCGTAAGAGGGTGTTTGAATTGTACCGTACAAAACAGTTTTGTGAAAAAAATTGCTATTTTTTAGTTTAAAATTCAGAAGTCAATAATTAGGTCTTTAATGATTTGTAAACATTGAAATGTGATTCCATACTTTATCAGATTCCATAAGTAGCATTCTTAAATGTATGTAGTAGTTTAATGGCATTCTTAGCAAATTCTTTATGTTCAAGGAAGGAATGAAGATTTTTAATTATTAATTTCAGATCTTGTGGAGAAAAAAAAAAAATGTGTTTGGAATCCCCTCCCTCTGATTCCTATGGTCTTTATAATTGCTAAAAAATCTGAATTGTCCATATATGAGACTTCTGTCCTGTCTATTGGTGGTATGACTCAGATCTGATTTAGTCCGTAAGGATAAAGACTTTTTTTGAAGTATGTAGAGATTCCTTAAATAGTCTAAGTTTAGTGTTCGGTACAATATCAAGCACAGTAATTCTATGTTATCAAAATTCACAACTGCTATATCTATATACTTGTAGTACACTTATTTATATTTTATTGTAATATAAGTTTCATTTCCGAATATAATTAAATAATATATATTTAAAGGGATTTATTCTTTGATTATATACACTCCATTTAGGATGCATTGATTTTTAATGGTGTTATGGTGGTATATTATTTTTTGTTTCATATCTATATGGGTACGAAATTTGAAAAGTTTGAGAACCCCTGCTTAAGCGGGAAATTATATGGATGTAAATTCCAGCTTAAAGTTCATAGACAGAGAAATATCTATGTAACTTTACTCTTGAAGAAATGGAAGTGTAACATCAATAAGTATTTAAAACAAGGAGAAAAAAGTTATGGGTAAAATAAAAAAAAATAAATAAATAAAAAAGAGAGAGAGAGAGAAGAAAAATTCTTAAAAGAATTAAAAAAATACATTTACGAAAGAGAAAAAATTTAAAAATTGTTTTTGAGGTAAAATATAGGTAGGGAAAAAAATCGAGTTCGTAAAAAAAAAAGAAAAAAAGTTATGCAAAATAAATAAAGCGAAAATGTAAAAAAACGGAAAGGAAAACATTAAACTGAAGGGAAAAAAAAACTTTTGTAAAATACGAAAGTGAAGGAAAAAATTTAAAAAAATTTTCGAAGTAAAACATAGAAAAAAAAAAAAAAAAAAAATTAACTGAAGGGAGGAAATCTTTTCTAAAAAAAGGGGGGGGGAATAATTTGTAAAAAAGCATTATTTTTATAAAATAAGGTTCACCAGCGGCCGAGCGGTAAAGACGCTGAACACTGGTAGCTTGGTCCGAGGTTCGAATCCCGCGAACGGGCTGGCTGCATGGGCGTTTTCGTGGTTTTCCCCGTGTGTAACGTGTATACGAGCCAGTTCCCCTTAGAAAGTCCTCCACGAAGGCATCCCTCCCTTCAGGCGAGATAGCCCTCGAGTGCTTTGCCATAAATCAATAATCCAATCTAATCAATTTTTATAAATATATTACTTTTCCAAGTTAAACGTAGAAAAAATTTTCTAAAGTAAAAAAATTGTAAAACTTAAAAATGTTGAAAGAAAAGAAAATTTATATTTGTGTATAAGAAATATGAAGTGAGAATTAGTAAATTTAATTTGAAGTAACAGCGAGAAAAGAAAATTGTGTAAAATATGTTTGTAACATAAAGAAATAAGAAAAGAGAAATTAAAAAAGATCTTAACCTAAAACAGCCACAAAATTAATTTAAAGTTATGAATTCATATATAATCGGGGATGTACAAAGATCTGAGCAAGTTGGAATAGAATTGCCTATGCGCAATCCTTCAGCCTCATGGTGACAAGTTTATTGAAATAAAAATGAATATTTAATCTCCCTCGGCTGCAGTGTTTTCTCTTCATTATGTTTATTATTATGTGTTCATTATGTCTTCAATATCTACGCTATCCATACGTATTATTACATATACACCTGCTCCGTTACACACACACACATATATAGAAAATAACTTGGTTGCTGAAGATAAGAATGAAGTAATTTGGGGTACGTAGATGTGAAAGTCGAAGTTGCAGTCATAAGTTATTTCTTGCAAAAATAATGCTTTTATTGCAGACAAAAGCGGTGACAGCAATCTACTCAAAGAAGCAGAGATTGAATATCACGTGTTCGTGATGAAGACTCTTCAGAAGATTTAGCTTCAGTTCAAATTTCCCCCATTGACTAATATTAGTTTGGGCTCTTAAAATTTAAATCATATTTGTGCGAAATATGTATAACGCTTCCGAAACATCATTAATGCTATGCAAGAAGCCATACGACATGAATTCGTTTTGAAATGACTCATTTTAGAGCGATTTATTGTCAACAATTACTATTTTTTGTATAAAAAGGTAAAATAATCAAATTAAAACGGAGAGTTTAGGAACTTTGAAAAATTAATTAGAATTCTGACTTACATACATTTTATCCTACACACACACACGAGCACATATCTATCTATATAATAATTTAATCAAAACTAGATCATAAAAAAAAGGAAACACTCTAACAAGAAATATACATATCAAAAGTATAACAAAAATATTTAAAAACTGAAACCATTCAACAAAAATTAATAAAGCAATTCAATAAAATAAAAAAATTGATATATATATTGTTGAAATTTCCTCGAACTTTTCGAGGAGCAGCCGAATAATTTTTAATAGAGCCATGTTTCTCCGTTGTGTCTAGATGATTGTTAATACTGGAAGTGTTTGAAAATAAAAATTCAGAGAAAATGCCATCTATGATAATTAAACTAAAATTAAAGTAATCGAAGTGGTTTAAAAGGGCAACGAAGTAAATTTTCAAACATTTTTATTATTTAATTAATCATCAAACATAACCTGCACCAACATGACCCCAAAATAAAAAACTATAATTTTAAAATTAATTGAAAAGATAACAAAAAGTATCTCGAGTAAGAAAACGCGAGTTAAAACTAAATAATTTTGGGGGAGTTCCTTAAAACGGTTTTAAAAAACATACAAAATTCCTCCCTACATAAAGAAGGCAAAAGCCATTATGGAGACTGCCTTTATTAGCAGCAATGAACGACTTTACATTCTGATCCCGATTACATCTTGAAGAGAGAGAGAAGATCGTTAAGAGAAATTGAAAAAATTATCGCAAGGCCTTTGAACCTATCAGAAAATAAACTGAAGTGGACAATATGTGCGGTAATTCCCATCATACATTATTTATGCCTCGTTATTAAATTTGCAGCTTTATCTTTTTTTTTTTTTTTAGTCCAAAGGGATTTGAATCCCGAAGGACTATTAGTTTCGTTTTGGCATTTTGCGTCGGACTCATAAATGTCGGTTCACTTGAGTCCTGCATTATATTTGAAGAAATTAAATAATGAAAAATCTGCATAAATGTATGTATATTTCTCGTATTGTGATAAAACAACGGTACATAGAGTCATCGAATTTTGAATAACGTAATCCTCCAAACGAATATGAGCATGTGGAAGACCAAATTTGAAATTTGAAATTTGTTTTATGATCAATTTATTTTTTTCCTATTTTTTAAAACTTTGACGAATTTTTTGATTAACAAAAACTCAAGAATTTCAAAGCGAAGCAATGGCAACGTTGTGCAGAAAAAAACATTTTTTATCTCCACGCGTGAGTCTCTGTATCGGAAATTCTAAAGATATGCTCGTTTTAAAACTAAATTTTTTTTGCGATATTGCTGTTGCACTGGATCTTATGGTTTAAGTGCGAGGAACATGATATTTAATAAAGAAAGGTAACACACAAAATGTTGAAAAAACGCCCCTTTGGACGTAATTTAAAATCTGAAACATTTCAGTTTTTTTTTTTTTTTGTTTGTTTGTTTGTTTGTTTGTTTGTTCAAGCAGAATTGCTCACATTTTCAGTGTTTGCGAAAAGTAAAACATTTAACCGTAATTTGATATTTTGCTTTTATAAAATAAAGTTCAAGCCCTTTGTTAAAATTTCCTAGCAACCTTTAATTTTTAAGTTACTTCAAAATTTCGCTATAATCATTCGTTTATATTTTTCACCTAGTATTATTTATATCAATATATATTTTGATATATACTGATATAAATAATACTAGGTGAAAAATATTTTAACAGTAACTTATTAAAAGAGGTCTTAATTTTTCTCCCTTAGTTTTCGTTGTATTGTATGGTAATTCATTTATTACATTTTGTCTTTCAGAAATATTAGTTATATCTTACTATTATTAGTATATTAGTAATGTCAAAAATATTACTAGCACCTTTAATTGGTAAAAATTCTTAAAATTATACGCATAATTTTTTAAATTTATACTCTGCTACTCTGCTGCTGTATGGTACGAGATTCGAAAACAGTTTATATACCGAAGTGTTCCAATTGATTTGTTGTGGCCCTCACTCAAAACGTTTAATGTTTCTTTTAAGTAGTGTTCCTAAACGGGATCTAGTTTATCATATACTCAGTTAGCTCAGTAGAGGCTTTTCTCGAAATGAAAGATAATACGATCTTTGCTAAAAAGCAGGTAAAACATAAATATGTTATTGGGAGTGCATGATCCAGCCACAAGTAGGTGCCCTCGCCCACATGATAGTTTTAAATTTGCCAAAGCTTGGCAGGCAAATTTGTGCACATCTATTTGCATGTAAATCATATTTATGTTTTAAATTTAATGAAACTTTGTTTTGTTATTAAGATTGTTATGGAGCAGCAATTGATAAAAATGAAAGATTATATCAAGCACATGATGAGGACAGTTAGAGCTGATATTCAACTAAATCGACCACGAGCCCTCAACGACCTTCGCCTACTTGAGAATGAAAGTAGATTTTACAAATGTAAGTGTTATATATTTACTAATACATGCACTTCTCAGTCGGTACAACTTTATTAAAAAATTTGATGTATACACCACATGACTTCCTTGTATGGAATATTAAATTATAGCAGTTTTCCTACATTTCATTTAAACATATTGAATTAACATTTAAAGAATTTTGAATTAAATCTACCTCGGGAGTAGCGCATAAACCGCAATAGAATAAATGCACTCTTTAAAATTCACTATATTTATTTACCATAGCGACACTTCGGCGCTAGGTTCACTTAACATCATTACATCTTATTCATTTTATAACTCAGAGTGCACAAAAATTATATCATTTGAAGAATTACCACAAGTTCTATTAAAGTACTATAATAAATCTAAAACGTTGTATAAAAGAAATTAAACAAATAAAAAAGAAACAGTTTTTCGCAGACGATTCAGCGAATGCGAATCGTCAGAATTCTTGCAAGAAGCTAATGCGAGCTCCTAATTAATTCAGTTCTTACTTTACGGCAAGGCAAAAATACATAAAAATTAAAATTACTTTCATTAAAATTTGAAAGAGATAGAAAAACATATAACACAAAATACAATTAAAACCATTAAAAACAACTTTTACAATTAAAATTAGTTTCTATGCAAAAACAAGTTAATAAATGATAATTCCAGAGTGAATTAAGCATAATTTAATTCGCAATAATAAAAGACGTTAGTTTGTTGTTGCAAAGATTAGTGTGTTTAGATTGGCAATGAATCCACTATTCTGCTAAGTTTCAAATGTAAACAAACTTGGCTTCCATGGTAATCAAAAATTAGGCTTAGCCACACTTAAAAAATTTTTAAATTGTTGATAATTCCACAATTATTGCATGCAGGTTAACTAAAGTTAAAAAACTTGCATAAATAATGGTTCTGGTTAATAAAAATCTTAACCAAAACAACATAATTCAATCATTTTTAAAGCAAAAAATGCATATTTTACAAACATATAATAATAAACTGAGCTCACTGAGCCGAGTAACAGAGTGGATACTCGATGTATCCACTGATATTTTGGTGCGGCCGATTGCAACCAAAATGCGATGTGCACATCTACATGTTATAGCAGTCCTATGTACAAAATTTCAGCGTTCTGAGACTACTTGTTTTTGAGTTATGCGAGATACCTACTTACAGATGCCGTATCTCGCATAGATGCGAAAAATATACGTACGCACTTACAGACGCCGCGAAAAAATCTCTTCAGAATTCATTTTAAATCAATTGTATATTTTTTTTGGGGGTGGAAGAGTCCTTTATTCTGTACAGATGTTGCATTTGATAGCTGTCTAAATGGATATTTTCTTTGAATTATGATACCCGAAATTTTTTGTGATTACAATATATTTCCTTTTTACTTCGTACAAGGAAGTAAAAAGGCTAAACTTAAGTAAGAAAGTAACCATATGCCAAGCATTTAACATTTTACACTGGTATGTTTCTATTTCAATTTCATATGACCAACATTCAATATGAAAATAATTTTCTTTTTGCCGAATGACTGGACACTTGCTGCTCAAGTATTTGTCGAAAATGGCGGAACCTGTCTATCATTTAATCACTTCATCGGCGAGAACATTCCTTGCGGTGCACAATAGGGCTGGGACCGATGCAAGAAGAACTACTTGCAAGAAAAGGTAAAGGACACGCACAAGCAACCATGCCGCCCTGGATTTTAGACTCATTTTCTGGTACCAAGGATACCGTCGAGATCGACCAGATGAAGATAATTCTAATCATAAATTTACTGTGAACTTTACAAATGTAATAATAACAACAGCAGAAAATCAAATGATATTAAAACCATAAATTGATTAAATGTTCATAGCTCGTAATTCTAGCATACTGTACATTGGTCTTAGTAATAACAAGGTAGCAGATTTTTGTCGTGTTTGCTATCGATACCATCAGTCTTCGTCAAACCAGGTGATAACGTTGATACATTGATTGTCTATAAAGATTATTTGAACATGCTGCGAACTTCTAAGACTTTGAAGACAATATATTAAGCTTTCGAAGTGGGAATCTTTAAAAATTATTTGAGTTTACGTCGCAATTCGAACCACGGGTCTTAATTTGCAAGCCGAATGTGCTAACCACTGCATCGGAACAAAGTACACAGGAGAAATCGCTTAAAATCTTACAACTTAATGGCAACTTTGTTGAAACTAAAAAGTAAATTGAAAGTTGGCTCTGCTTTCTACTTATAATATTGCTTCTTTGATCTGCATACTCATTAATTGTGCTAGCTGTTATGTCTTTATACCAGGGTTCCAATCTCGGAGAAGGTATGGGTGTTTGTAAGTGCATAGTTTCTGTACGGCATGGTAATACTTAGACTATAGACTAGCTTAATGTCCTCTCGAGTGTTTGATGCACGCAGCTAAGAATAAAAACAGAATGGTAGCGGTGGGACGTTAAGAATGCAAACGTTGATTACACGAGACTTAATTAAAACACAAACTGTACTATTAAACAACATTAAAAATACTCTTTTCTCCATTTTCAAATTTTAATTATAGTGTACATGAGTTAGGCTAATAGATAATGCTACCAAATGCTGAATATACCGTATTTGCCAGCGTATAAGACGCACTTGTTTTCTTTGAAAATAGGGCTGAAAAACGAGGTGCGTCTGATACGCCGATACTTATTGCGTATTCATTATAAATTCATTATAATGAGTTTTTATCCTTCAAAAATGTGTACAAAAAAGGGGGTGCGTCTTATACACCGGCAAATACCGTAATTAAAGGTATATTTTTTAATGTTGGCTCAGTTTATTTTTGTACCTCTTTCTTTTGTTTCCGTAAATAATTCACTTTACAGAGAATACTGGTTATAGCATTTATGAAGTTTTCGAATAAGTAATGAAAACTTGTAAACATTTTTTATGAACCCCAATTTTTTTGTGCAGAATTAGCATGTAGAGATTCATATTGTTATATAATGCATTTTTCAATGAATATGTTTTTTAAATTTTCACTGAAACTTGTATAACTTTACATTAATTTAAATGTTTTAACTTTAATTTAATTATTTATTATTATATTTTTAAAATTTATTTTTAGCATTGGATGCCCATGTTACAAGGGGCACCGTTATTAATATAGCCGAAATGGAAGAAATTAAAGCAGTCCACATTGCGGTGAGGTCTCTAGAACGTGTATACGTCGAATTTTGTTTAAGTCTAGGTGTTACATTCTGCCAGCATGGACTCAGAAGGCCAAACTGCTTTGCACATAGATTGTAGAAACAGTTCTTTAGGTAATATTAAAATTCCTATTCATATATTTGATTTTGCTGGATTATGAATTTAGTAAGTTCTAGCTTAGAAACCAGATCTAATGTTATTATTTATTAGATTTGAATTCTAACAGGAATTATTGCGCATAAAGACTTGGTTTCTACAGGAATTGTTTCATATTAGATCTGACTTCTATCTATGCAGTCAAAAGGATACTGTTCTTGACATAAAATATTGTTAAGTCAAATCTAAATTTATGCTGAACATCTTTAGATATTTTTTCGCGTTGTGCAGTGAAACTGAGCTGAGCAACAATAAATGCACTGACATTTTACTGGACATCATAAGTACTGTATTTGCTTTCGATTCCTCCCCTTTCATTAATGTTACCGCTTGAAAATTGAAAGAGAAGAATAACGCAGCGTATATACAGTTTTTGAGAAAAGGCGTAAAAGAATTTATCTGATTGAAAACACGTGTTTGAACTGTTGCACTATTGCTGTTACTGAATTGCTGTTCGGTTCTACTCATTTCGGTATATTTTAACACTTACAGTTTAAATTTTGATGGACAGCTGCAGCTACTATTGTTCCCAAAATGTTAGAAGCTGTCTTGTCTCATTGAGTTAACATTAATATTTAAAAAAAAAAAAAATCAATCTCACTAACTTGAAAAATTCTGTTTCAAAAAAAAAAGGGGGGGACACGGATAAGTAGGGGTTATTGCTAAATGTAGTTTTAAGGCATCGATAGAATTCAAAATTTTTAAAAACCAGTTCGCTGCTTAAATAAAAATAAACCTTTAGTTTTTAACAAACGGTTCGTTAGACTCGAAATATTTTAGGAACTGGCTGAATCTGCCTTTTTTTTTTTTTTTTTTTTTTTTTTTTTTTTTTTTTTTTTTTTTTTCAAAATCCATAGAATATAATTTTAACCAGTGGCTGGAAATGTTCTGTAGAGAGAAAGACAGTGAGCTAAAATTCAACTTTTATTATTGGTTGCCTTTTTCGAGGGAAAGACATTCATTCGTTTCGTGTATAAAAATTAGGTTAGGTTATTTAATTACGGCAAAGCCTCGAGGGCTATCTGCCTAAGAGGAGGGGTGCATTCGTGGAGGACTTTCTAAGGGAAACTGGCTCGTATACACGTTACACACGGGAAAAACCACGAAAACGCCCATGCAGCCAGCCCGTTCGCGGGATTCGAACCTCGGACCGAGCTACCAGTGTTCAGCGACTTTACCGCTCGGCCGCTGGTGGGCCTCGTGTATAAAGCTCTCGTATATCCCAGTCTTTACGAATACGTCCTGGATATATATATATATATATATATATATTTGTTTCAAATGGCCAAACAGTTATGCATTCTCAAACTTTTATGCATTCGTCACGCGTAACTAAAGTTCCTTGGTCATGTAGCCGTCTTTTCGCTGAGAACGTGTCCAGAGTGTACCAAGGGGTGACTGAAATATACCCGCGAGAACGAGGAAGCCTCGGTTTTGATGAAGGTGTCTTAAGAAGATGAATCCAAGGTCTCCTATTGATCTTATCCGACGATCAAACATCTCGAGAGGACTTTTTGGGTTGACAGTAGTGTTACGAAATCTCCAGGCGCGGTAAAATAGCTTCCCCGCAAAGCAGTTTTAGGGTTGCCACATTTGGCGAGAAATCGCTCATTTGGCAACAAAATCGGCGATATTCCATGGAGGATGGAGAACCTTCTGGAACGAATTCTTTCCGGTTTGCGTAATGGCAGACCGCACATTGAGTTGAACAGTGTTAAACAAATGTCGCATACTGCGCATGCCCAGAAAACAATTTGGCGTAATTACTATGTTGGCGCGATTTGAAAAGAAGATAAATAAGGTATATGGTAAATGTACCGCCATCTGATTGTAAACAAATCTGGCGTTTAAATCTTCGTAGAGTATAATGTAAATGTAAATTAATTACTGTGTTAAAATACTATTTTTTGCTGTACTGCTCAAAACAACTAGAAAGCTGAAATTATTGCGAAGTAATGTGAAGCAGTGTTTGCATTCAAAATGTAAAATATAATACTAATGAAATTCTGCACATTTCTTGGAACTGTACAAATTTTCGTTCGTTCAGAAAAGACTGAAATTTAGGATATATTAGTTTTGAAAATTTATTCATTATACTTTTAAGCAATAAAAACAATTTCAGGATTTACCATACGTTCCATTCGTACATGCATAAAGAAACACTGAGGAATATAACAAGTGCTTGCAAATAACACTGAAGAAATTTTACAATTCCTTAATGCTAGTTATTAAATTCTTTGAAATGAGAAAATAAAGCGCGAATATACGCTAACAAACTAAGCGAGATACTCCAGTTTACAATTACTGAATTATAACATGTAAAACAAATTACATTTAAATAACGAATTATTACGAACATATGTTAACAAAATATTAAATGCACTGTTATTGACAAATTACAATGAAATATATATTAGAAAAATAAGCAAGTGCAATCGGTATGGACGTTAAAATAACTAATAAGCAAAGTTCCACAACATTATAGTTGTAAACATCATTCGAACACACTCGACAGCCATGGTGATCACGAATAAGCTAGCGTAGGGTTGCTTTTAGTCGCCAATATTTCTCCCCGCGCCAAAGGTACACCATCAAGCATGCGCAGTAAGCGAAATTTGCTTAACATTGTTCAACTCAATGTGCGGTCTGCCATTACGCTTCCGGTTTGGCCCAGTACAAGCCGAAAGCTATATAAATCGTCGAGTTAATTAGTGCCTCGTCTAGCGAGTTAATAGTCAGTTATTGAGCGAGTATCTCAAAGTCTAGCGCTGAGTTGGTCGTCGAGTGCATCGAGAGAGTCTTTTAGGGTATCGCAAGTTAGTGCATTGTAGTCTTGTCTTAGAGTGTGCTGAGTCGAGAGCTGTACTCTTGTGTATCGTCGAGTGCATCGCGAGTTGTAGCGTGGAGTCTCAAGAGTACGTGGAGTTTCGAGAGCGATCGAACAGATTGGGGAGCTGTACTTTGGTGCTTTGCCGTGAAGCTATCTTCACCGTGATAACCTGGAGGCTGAGTCGCTGATTGTTCCAGCGTGTTTATTCGACGACTGTAAAACGTGATTTTGGAGCTGTCCTGATTAATATCGGCTAAATAAAGTGTGTTTCGATATTTTATCAAGTGTTGTCGTTATTCACTCCAAATCTACGAATCCCGTACGAACGTGAAGGAAGAAAATAACGTAACAGTATTTTAAGTGCCTCGGTGTTAAAAAGATACTTACAAACATCCATACCGTTTCCAGAACTCGAATCTGTGTCCAAGGCTAAGTTAGTCGGCTTCTTTAGACCATGGCAACACGGCCGCCGTCCTGAATATTGAATACTCGGAGAGTACCGGCTTTAATTCCTGTGGCCATTTGATTCCCTTTTTCATCTGGATGAGAGAGGAAAAAGGCCTTGTCAAGAATTTTAGAGGCTGAATGCATGTCCTATAGATTCATGTGTAAAGAATACTTATATTGCTTGCTGTGGGTTCAACTGATGTTAGGTAGCTCACTTTCAGTCAAAGTAAGGTTGTATTTAGACTCGGTGAGGAGCTATCACCACCAGAATTTCTAACTCTAAACAAACAGACACAGAAGCTAAATAACTTTAAATGTATTCTACCTAACCACTTGTGAGGGGTTAAATTAAAATATGCACACTCAGAAGTTCCGAGCCAACTGGACCTGGTTTGAATAACGCAAGCTTCTTTCCCACTTACTATAAGTTCAGCAATTTAATCTAAGTTTAATAGAGGCCACAAGCTTCGGCTAGATCGCGACAGAAATTTAAAGTTCAACTTACCCATATAGAATTATTTTTAGTTTATAATATTCAATTCACGACCAGCGTTGGAGCTGCCAATTGAGAAAAACTTTACTCAGCAAGGCAGTTACGGCTACCAGGCCAAAAACTCTTACACGCAGCTATTTTAATAATTCTTCTCATTATAATTCTTTTTTGTATTCTTGCTATACGTAAAACTGCTTGTCACTTAAATGTATATAAAATATGGAATGAGCGAACTTTATGGCGAAACAAGGTAGAAAGGAACGATGTAAATTTAATGGCATTTCGTTATAGTAAAACTTAAATATAAATGCCACATAAACTGAAAAATTTCAAAAATTGGTCATTTTTGTGGAGAAATTTTTAAAAAGGCAAAGAAATATATGCAAGAGCTAGAAGTGTAAGATAATGTTTCGAGAAAGAGGCAGCACTTTTACAGATATCAAAATCAAATGTGTCGTTCTAACATTTAATTCTGACAAACATAGAATTGTAATTTTCTCGGCTAAATAAATTTTTTTCTACTATTTTATTTTGAAGAAATTTTGTTTCTATAAAAGAAAATATTTCTATAGCTAAATTAAGATTCACATGAAAAAATAAATAATGATTTTTAAATTGAGAGTCATTAGGTTATTTTGAAGCAAGAGACGTAAAAAACGAGCAGTATCTTCGCCGGGACTCGAACCTGGACCTCTCAAATACGCACCGAGTGTGTTACCATTACACCACGAAGGCATGCGGAAAGGAGAGAGAAAGTACTTAATAAGCTAATGGAATGATAATTAATTATTTTTATAGTTTTCATTGATTTTAATAATTTATTAAATAAAATTTTTTCCCAGACTGAGACTTAATTAACCGAAAAATTTATTTGCATAATTTTTTTTGTTTGTTTTTACTAAACAATATAAGGGTTCCGAAAATTGATTATAAGCATTAAAAATTTTTATATTTTCTACGTGTAAATTTAATAAATAATTTTTTATAAACGGAAGTAAAAGACATGTGACAGATTTTCAGATTGCTGCGGAAATAGGCAACAGTGTTAGATGCGTGAAAAGTTGGGGATGTCGAAGTTCCAGCTGTGTGGCATCCAGAATGTTGAAGCCAGAAAGAAAAAGCATTGAGTTTGAGAATAGCTCTGCATGATAAAAGCCGATAAAAAGCTTTTATTGTTAGCTGGTGAGAGGAGATGAAGTATGGCTCCATCGCTATGACCCACAAATGAAACAAGGGAGCAAGGTTTGAAAACATTAAGATATCCTCGATCCTATATGTTTAGAAATCTGCCTGAGAAATTTTAGACATTTTTTGGGATAAAAATTGATAACATGCCTTTTTGATACCATGAGAATAGGCTTTTTTAATGCTAACCTGATGCAGTAAGACATAATTGCAGCTCAGAATTCCTAAACTGCAATTCAATGATGCGGATTTCTGTTTCTCCTCTTGTATTCACTAGACTTAGTCCCAGACTATTGTTTGCTATTATTAGTTCGATAATTGTGTGTTTCACAAACTGTAGTATTAACGTTCTTTCGACGATAATATCCTAAAGTATTTCATTGACACAATCTGAATAGAAATGTTTTTTAACCTATATGTGGTGCCATTAAATAAAAATATTTGTAGTTTCTCATCATACATAACATTGATAGTATTTTTTTTTCTTCATTTTATTGAATGCTTAAATTTGAAATATAAATTTTGTTTCAGAAATAATACAGCTACTTCTTGAAAGCAGGGGCAGGTCCATTCTGGATAAATGTGACCAGTTTGGAAGAAGGCCGCTGCGCATAGCATGCACAAGAAGTTCACCAGAAGTTGTGCAATACTTGCTTGAGAATGGTGCTTCCATAGAAAAAGAAGGCTGTCTTCTGTTAACTGCACTAAATCATATATATAGGAGCTATATACACAGAATAATATCTACGCTTCTAGATTATGGAGCAGATGTAAGTAATAAATGTAGTCAAGTATATTTATAAATATATTTTCTCAAATCAGAATTTACATTATAAGAATAACATTGCATTCAGAACAGAAGTTGTTTATTTTCTTCGTTTGCTTGAATGCATCCTCGGTTTTATTATAGAAATACAGATTCTGCTTTTAAGGCAAAAAATTATGGATTTGCAAGTTTCGGGTAAAATAAATAAATTAATCAACAGATGAATTAATTAAAATAATTTTGAGTACTCAGTATATAGATTTTCTTTAATCTAAAGTTTATAATGTGGTTTAGCTTTAAGAGAACCTCATATGGCCATTATGCTGTCGCTTACAATGCAAAGAACACGCTGAACTAATTCATTATCACCTTGACAACGCTGCTTACATTTAATATTGTTGGGTTTTTAGTGACCTTATATGAGTCTTGCTTGCAGTATTTATATGAAATTTTATTTCTTCAGGGATTCATTACCAGATAGGAATACCCTTAATGGCAAGACAGGAAACACTGCTATTAATAGTTCGATAATTCGAATAGTGAATATTAATAGTTCGACCGCTAATATCCCGATAATTCGAATAGTGAATATTAATAGTTCGACCGCTAATTTCCCGATAATTCGAATAGTGAATATTAATAGTTCGACCTGGTTTCAAATAGTTACAGGCGAAAACATTGCGGATGATAACGTAATGGAGAAAACAATGCAAGATGTGTACGGTCGTCTATTGTGGGAGAAAAGAAAACATCGTGACATAAAACTTTCATCAAAGAAAATAAAGCGGCTTAAAAACATGGCCGTTTAAAAAGCAATAGTAGAAAATATCATGGTAAAAAATAAAGCACCCAGACAATCATTTCATAACGATAACGTTACAGACATAAGTTTTTCAGCTTTAAAACTTGCAAAATATAATGATTTGTGAGTGCAAGAAAGAATACGGAGTATTTTTAACTCGATATTTCCTATTTTTGAATTAATAATTTTTTGAAATAATTAATTTAATTTTTTGAAATAATTAGTAGAAAATTTATGCTACACAAAGTAGTTAATAGAATTTTAAACTCATGAAGTTAATTATTAAAGGTCACTATTTAGATAGTCTTTGTTGTAAAGTTGTACTGGAAGTTTTTCATGAAAAATATAGTCTAAAGATGATTAGTAAGGGGAAGATGAGTAACTGGACGAAATTTAATATATTAAAATTGTTTAAATTGATTATCTAATTGTAAAATTATTTTCTTTCACTTTGTTAATCTGATATTCTTTTAGTAAAAATTAAATCTTTTTTCTTTCAGTTTATTTGTCTTTTTATACTAATATAATAAGACATCTCATTTTACTTTGTAAATCTCTCTTAACGAAGTGACTTAAAGTGTCCTAAACATTTTCTCATACAGCGTGCAGTTAATCGCTTAGATGTTGATTCGTTAGTTATGACGAAGCATGTCAGGAGGTAGCTACGTAATATTTCAGTAGAAGATTTGGATTTATTGAATTATGGTAAAGCATTCTAAGTTTATGTACCTAACGGGAGAGATGAATTTATGGAGCACTTTCTTAGCTCGTATCCACGTTATACGTTAGGAAAGCCACAAAAATCTCATGCAGCTGCTCTAAAGCTTTCAGCTTTAGTTTAAATACATTGATTCAAAAAAGCAAATCTTTTAAAATTTTTTGCATAAACACTGAAGCTCAAATTTTTTTAAGTTATCTTGGCAGATTAAAACATGTCTCTGGAAAATTTGTAAATCACTCGGACAAAGAAACTTATTTCTAAATACTCAAGACTAAAAGAATATCAGATTAACAAAGTGAAAGAAAAATAATTTTGCAATTTGATAATTAATGTAAACAATTTTAATAATATACTTAACTTCGTGGAGTTACTTATCTTTCCTTTACTAATCGTTTTAAGGACTATATTTTTCATGAAAAACTTCCAGTATAACTTCATAAAAGAGACTAGCTAAATAGTGGCCTATAATAGTTAACTGCATAAGTTTAAAATTCTGTTAACTACTTTACGTAGCATAATTTTTCTACCCATTTTCAGTTTGTGAAATGCTTGAGTTTCCTTCTTGCATTTTAGCAACAAAATATTGATTAATTCAAAAATATGAAACACAGAGGCAAAAATATTCCTTACTCCCTGTTGCGCTCACAAATCATTATGCAAATATACATTTACAACTTTTAAAGCTTATGTCTGACCTAAAATATCATATCTAGAATATAATCATCATTTTTTTTTTTTTCCCTCAATGGAGGACCCAAACCTCCCACAGACTTTGGCCACTACTAAGGCCAGAAGCAGTGGTCACTTTATTTTGTAAGTATCTAATAGGTGCGCCACCTTTGCCTCCTATGAGAGGATGAACAAATACGCCTAAGCCTTCTCCGGGATTCGAACCTGGGCCCTTTGGTACTCCCCTAACCACTATACCCTCTCGACGGGGGATATTATCATCATGCGATGATTTGTAGATGCTTCGTCATAATTAAAGATTTGGATGTTGATTCTTTAATTATGACTTTTTACCACAATTATTTTCTGCTATATTTCTGCTAAAACTATGTCTAAAATTGCAATGTTTTTAAACGGTTTAGTGCTGCGATACTTCTTGCTTCATTTTCTCCCACTTACGACGACGTTTTTGTCTTGCTTTGTTTTCTCCTAAATGTTTTCGATAGACACAGCTTCAAATAGTGATAAAATAGCATAGCATTTAAATGTTTTTCTGATTTTTACCATGTAGCTCACGCAAATAAGAGAATCCGTTTCCCTTAGAAGTCTCATAAAAGCATGCGAAAACTATTTTCATGCCAAACTGGCAAATAATCGTTGCGTGATTTTACTTAGTTAAACCAACGACTTAAATGGTTTTTTTTTTTTTTTTTTTTTTTTTTTTTTTTGAGAAAACTTGAAATGAAGATAAAAGTTTGACGGATTCTTTGAAATGCATATACCTTCGTATTTATTTTAAAGCATTTTCTGAGGTACTGTAGCTAAGTTTTAAGGCTTTGAATTAAATGTTATTTAAATTTTTAGTTTAAATTATTTATAATTTGAAATGTTTATGTGTGTTCGCTATGAAAAACAATGAAAATATGAGTTTAAATTAGAAAAATTGTGCAGAAAAATCCTGGAATTTATTGAATACTATTTTAATAGTAAGTAAATATATAGAGTCATTAAGTTAATTTTTGAAGTATAAGACATGAAAAATGATCAGTGTCCTCTCTGGGACTCGAATCTGGACCTCCCGAATACGCGCCAGGTGTGCTACCGTTACACCAGGAAGGCATGCTGGAATTAGAGAGAGAATACCTTATATACTACCCTCTTTTAAAGGACGAGTGGGGATTAGGGGACGCAATCGCCAATTCTGGTAGTGACGAATTATGTCCACCACCTTTTAGTTCGGGAGCCACTTGTAGAGTCATTAGATTTTTTCCGATGATGGAAACATGAAAAATGAGCAATGGCTTTGCCGGGACTCGAAGTTGGACTTCTCTCGAATACGAGCCAAGTTTTTTACCGTTACACCACGAAGGCATGCGGAAAGGAGGGAGAAAATACCTTATATATATTTTGATATAGTAACAGAAGTTTACATTTAAGTTTCAGTTATTATTATTTCCATAGAAACTTCATTTTTTTAATTTAGGAACTATTTAACAGACTCGGATGAAATCAGGTGGATGATACTTGATAAATATTTAATATTCACTCCTGGCTACAGTTTCAGAAAATTTCTAGTTCTGAAATCGAGCTTACATTTTGTAATTATGCATAATAATTACGCAGGAGACATTTGATCAAATTTTGAAAATTTTATGCATTTCATGGAAATTGGAAAGGGTTTCTCTTTTACAAGCCGCAAAGGTAGTATGAATTTTCTATAAAAACGTGTATCAATTTTTTCCTGCAAAAAGGAGGATCTCACGTAAATCTACCTCGAAAACCTACTGGAGTTCTGAGATAAGATTCCCCTAAAAATTGCTTCCCAAAGTTATTCCTCCCTCGCGGATAGTTCTGGTCTGTTTTCCGTTACCTAAAATCAACCATCCAAATCTTTCTTGAAATACGCAAAGTTTTCCAACAAAACTACCATCAATTAAAGATTTAATTTTACCTTGTTTTAAATTTCATTTTGGCTTGCTTCATAAGTTGTAATCATTTTTTATTTGCACTAAGTAGCTCATTCATTTCCGTTACAATGTTTATATCTACTTAGAATTAATATATATTCTTTTATTCTTTTAAATACCATTTGCATCCATTCAGAAAGGGCAGTTTCTGTCTGACTTAAAATTTCGAAAGAATGTTAATTTTCTGTTCTACGAATATTTTAAGGAATACGAGGTGCGTAATCGCCCGGTTGAAGTGAATAAGCTGCACATGATAGGTTTTCGCTGAGAATCGCCCACATACTAGAATGGGAAACTCCTACTGCGTTCTCTATACTTCGCGTACTCAAACTTGGAGTCCCTTGTACCTGATGTAGCGCATTCTGTTTGTGTTCGGAGTCCGTGCTGATCGGGCCCGATTCATGACAGCTCTTTGAAAGGAACTTGTTTCAGCTAACCTCATGTGCAGCCTTGCAAACAAATTATGGCTATGTGTACGTCTCATAATATGTCGTTCAGCGTACAAGCGCTGTGCGGCTGGCCTACTACAATCTGCAACCCATATGCCAAATGTGGCTTACTTCGCGTTCGTATAATTATTCATCCTACTAACTCTCCGTTCTGGTGCAAAATGACGATTCCCTGCAAGAACTCTTGTAACTTTCGTGCAACGCCATCTACCTCGTCAAAAAAGCATTTCAGACCCTGCATTGGTATATGATTCATAGGCGTTGAGGTGCAACCTACTTCTCCAAGAATTTCTGAAACGTGGTACTGAGACCCTTTGTAAACATGGAAATGAAATTTTACTAAACTATACCAAATTATACGAAATACTATTTCAAATGACACTTGATTATATTTATCTATGTAAAGATTTTTTAGATTTAAAACATTTCTGCGGAATGGACATACTTGCCGAGGAATTTCTGAAACTTTGTGGTTCATTGCATAGTTTTATCTCTTTTATTACTTCTGTTTTTTGTTAAAGTATTTTAGTTAGCATTATATACTAAAACTGGTTTTATTTTTTAGATTAACATGTGTTCGAGCAGTGGAACGACCTCGCTGTTAAAGGATGTGGAACGCGCTTCCCATACTAGAAAATCATCATATATGCGATTATACTTGCCATATGAACATTTAAGTCTCGCAGATTTGTTAATAGACTGCGGTGCAAACCTTCATACGCATAGCTGTGACGATTGCATCGCTATGTATGGAAATGGATTCCCAGACAAAAGCCCACTGGACGAAAGCGCACGCGACAAAAGCCCACTATGATAATTGCCCACTCGACAAATACCCACAGCGATGAAAGCGCACATTGATAAAAGTCCATACTGATATAAGCCACATTGATAAAAATCCACATGGATATAAGCCCACGCTGATAAAAGCCCACACTCATAAAAGCGCACATAATCAAAAAGGACTTATAGTTTTTTTATTACTAAAAGTGTATTTATAATTTTAATTATAATAAAAGGAGTATTCAGATCTGAATTTTAATGTCTCAAATATATGTTTGTATATTTTATCACTATTTTATTATTTAATTTATTAGGTAGAAAAGCAAACTTTCTGTTCTCTGATTAAGTGATTAGCTATAACGTTTCGATGATAAATCTGAAATTGCATTTTATTATTTACTTATTTAAATTTGGTATGTGTATGTGAATATGAAAAATATCATTGTGGAGTTTCTCACATGCTATTTTTAAGGTAATATGGCTGAGATTAAATATAATTATGTTTCATTATTAAAACTATTAACTTTTTAATTAAAAAACACGTAATTTTTTAAAAAAGTTTTTTCCTTAAAAAGCTTTTTTTCTAATTTAAATCAGATTAAATTAATTCTGTTATCCATTAGCAAATAATTATAGTGAATTATATCTATTGACGACATTTCTAAGAAGACTCGTTTTGAAAGAGACCTGAAGAAATAAATGGGCCTAAATAGATTGTAATATCAATGAACATTTTTAATGACGGAGATTAACTTAAACATAGTTGCATACAGCAGAGAAAAGGGCGATGAAGTAAGAATGGAAACGATTAGCCGAATGGAATACATGTACATACGTAAACATTATACGTCATCGGCGAGCGGATAAACGCGAATGGCGCATGTGTCAGGAAGTGCTCTCTAAGCTAAACGTCATATTATAATTTATGATATAACAATCCCCCTTTCGACGTTTGGCGGGTTAAAAAAAAATAAACATTAATCATTTACAGTTATTCAGATTAATTTACAGCACTTGAGAATGTTTCGAAGCAGTCTAATGTTTTTGTCAGTACATCAGCAGGCATTTTCTCTGTTGGCACATATTTAACGTCTATTTCATTTCATTTCAATAAATTTCACGAATGAAATGATGTCTAATATCTATGTGTTTAGTGCGTGAGTGATAAACAGCATTTTTCATTAAGCTTTTGTGCACCTTGATTTATCACAATATATAATGGTTGGATAATCAGCAGTAAAATTGAATTCTTTAAGGAAAACGACGTAAATAAACTGCTTCTTATAACCACTTTCTGTAAAAGACTGATGTACTCTGCTTCAGTACTTGATAATGCAACAGTTTTGTTGCTTTTCACGTGATTCCCATGTTATTGGATTTCCAGCAAGCTTGAAATAGGTAACCTGTATTACGATTTTTCTAGTATTAACATCAGACGCCCAGTCGGCATCGGTATATCCAATAAGTTTGCTTTTCCAGTCTTTCGAAATTTTAAACAACAATTTTTAGTTCCTTTTAAGTATCCGAAGAACGCGCTTTGCAGCCAACCAGTGTAATTTTCCAGGATTGTTATTAAATTGGTCTCAGGTGACTGACAGGCGTATGTAATATCCGGCCTGGTAAACACAGGATAAGATACATAAGCGAGCCAATTAGACGGCGATAAGGTGCATTGTTCATTTCTTCCTTTTCAGTTTCAGAAGGACACATTTCTTTACTTAATTTTACACTAGGATTTAAAGGAGTTGCTAATGGTTTTGCATCTTGGATATTAAACCTTCGTAGAATATTATCAACATATTTCTGCTGAGATAAACTAATAGAATTATTATTTACATCTTGATTAAATTCTATTCCAAGACAATAATAAAGTTTGCCTAAATCTTTAACATGAAATTCTTTAGAAAGATAACCTTTAAGTTCAGCATATAAATCACAGCTATTTGTTCCTATTATTAAGTCATCCACATATAAAATTAGAATTAACTCACCTTGAGATGTTTTCATCCTATATACACACTTATCTGATTGTAATGGTTGTAATCCAAAGTTTTTGAGTTTTTTGTCTAATTTTTCATTCCACTGTCGTCCACTTTGTTTCAAACCATAAAGAGACTTTGCAAAGCATAAACATAATCAGGATTATTTGGGTCTTCAAAACCTTTAGCTTGTTCCATGAAAATTTCTTCTTTTAAATCACCGTTAACATAAGCCATAACAAAATCTAGTTGATATAACATAAGGTTCAGCACTGTATGCAATCACAGTTCTTATAGAGCTTGCTCTGGCTACTGGAGCAAAGGTTTCATTGAAATCAATTCCAAGTTCCTGTGCAAATCCTCTAGCAACCAATCGAGCTTTTCTCTTTTGAACTGTTCCATCTGCATTATATTTCGTTCTGAAAACCCAGCGACATCCTATTACCTTTTTGTTCTGTGGTCGCTTTACTAATTCCCATGCACCTTGTGCCTACAATGAAAAGCTTGGAAACTGGATGACTGACGCTTTCTTAATGTACAGCTTTTATTTCATTTTTTATTAATTTTTATTCATTTAACTAATTATTTATTTTTTCCGATATTTGAACTTTTTCTCATTTATTTTCAAAGGAACAATGTTTGTGTGAACAGTTTTGAGAATCGAAAATTAAATGATTAAGTCTTAGATGAGATACGTTCTACCAACCAAAAAAAATTTGTCACGATTAGAATGTAATATATGTCAGTTGCTATGCATACTGCTTATATCAACTATGCTTATCTCAACAAATGCTCAAAATTTTTTTGTCTTTTGAATTTTAATATATGTAATAATTTAAATTTTTTAGAAATAGTTCAGTTATTTTACTTTTAAACAATAGTTCTGCTTCGACATAACAGACATGTTTAATTAGTTCATCAAAAAGCTGTTAAAGACTCTATCGAATCAGGAACTAGCATATTTTTCCACTCTGAAGTTTTACTGCAAAAACAGTGAATTATCCTTTTAAAATGGTTAAGAAATATTTAAGTCCTTTCGTTTTCCAGTTATTGAAATTTTTAAAATAATTGAAATTCTAACTAAATCCTTAAATGAAAAGTTATTCAAGAACTAGACTAAAGAAAATGCCAGAAACTTCAGTTTATATGCGGAATTTCAGATATTGTTATTTTCTAGTAACTAAAAAAAAATATCTAAAATCCTCTTTAATATATTTCTAACCAACCTCTAAAAACTAGAAAACCGTAGCTTGGTCAGATGATCACGATTTCAGATGCTAAGAGCTTTAGTTGCTAAGATTCAGTTGCTAAGATTTATCAGCGTGCGCTTATATCTATGTGGGCTTTTATCAATTTCATCGGTGTGGGTATTAGTCGCGTGGGCAATTATCCCTGTGGGGTCTTTTTAGTGGGCTTTTGTCGCGTGCGCTTTCGTCCAGTGGGCTTTTGTCCGGTCACCATGGAAATGACAACAATATTTCTGTTTTTAAGGCAGTTTCTCAAATTCCCTTGAACTGAATAAATTATGTTTGAAATGTAATTAGAAGAAACATCCAAAATGTTAATGACATAGGCAGTTTGCCATACTTAATCAATAAAATAATGTACAAATAATAATTGAGGGCTGAAAAGATTGCGGGCAATGCAACGAGAAAACATAGTGTAGGAGATAAAAAAAATCAAACTTTGCAGTCTGCTTAAACAAGTTCCTTTCAGACTGCAGAGTTTGTTAATAGTTTCTGTGTTCAATACGGGTGCTCAAATTATTGTATATATTATATTTTAATGTTATTATGAATATATGTTATATTAGTATTATTTACCTTATTTGTATGATCTTGTATTGTTCACTGCATTTTTACTTCTCTGTACGAAATAAAAAATCTGATGTGCACACCACATGACTTCTTTGTACGGAATATTAAATTATATGCATTTTTTCTTGCATTTCATTTAAACTCATTGGATCGAAATACTATAATAAATCTTGAACGATGTATAAAAGAAATTAAGCAAACAAAACAAAAAGGAAACAGTTTTTCACAGACGATTCAGTGTTTCTCATTCAAATAATTCCGTTCCCACTTCGCGACAAGGCAAAAATACATAAAAACTAAAAATATCAGTATTAAAAATTACGAAGAAATCTTAAACACTTATTTCCTCGAATAAATTTCACAATAGATTAAGCATGATTTAATTCGCAATAATAAAAGAAGGCGTTATCTTTGTTGTTGCCAAGCTTAGTTTCTCTAGATTGGCAACAAATCCGTTATTCTGCCAAGTTTCAAATCTAAATAAACATGGCCGCCATAATTAGGCTTAGCGGCACTTAAACAACTTTTGAAATTGTCGATAATTCTACAGCTATTTTATGTAGATTAATTACGAAGGCACACAAAAACCTTTAACCGGAACATAAGAGCAACATAATTCAATCATTTTTAAAGCAAAAAATGCGCAATTTACAAACATGTAAGAGTAAAGAAAGTGAGCTCACTGAGCCGGGTAAGAGAGTGCATATAATATACAGTGGTGGCCAAAATTGTGGACACTTTTGATATTTTTATGTTTTTGAACTTTGTATGCTTATAGAAAATGTTACGTTTCGCAAAATGCAAACTTGTATATATCATTTAAAGAGAATTTACTACTGAATTCAATACAAAACACAAAATTCAATTATTTGCAATACAAAAAAAAGCTATATGTACTTTAATATAAATAAAAAAACACAGTAATGAAGTGGTTTGTAATGTCTAGCTTTCCTGGCCAATCACTGTTCTTGTTCTGAGAACCAACCAAATATTAGTAACTGCCAGTAGAAGCTGACATCATGTTTACACTTGAAACAATTCATTATTTTACTTTGTTCTGTAGAAGGAGGACCTGTTTCTTATACACTGCAATTACAAGTAGGAATTTTTATAAAAATTTTTAATATTTAGTCAAGAAGCAATGACATCAAATAAAAGAGTAGATTGGACACCTAGAAAGAGATGTTATATTATTGTGTTACGAGAAAGTGGTCTTTCCTATGCTGAAATTGCAAGACAGGTGGGTGGTTCAGTGACTACATCTGGAGTCCGAAAGTTTTGTTTACGATATCAGGAGACAAATTCAATAAAAAACAAAGAAGGAAAAGGTGCACCACATATGATGACAGAAGATAAAAAAGACTATGTCTCCAAGATAGAAAAATGTCATCAGCGGCCATCAGACGTTGATCTGAATGATGCTGGGTGTTTCTGTCAGTTCAGAACAATCGGAGAAGATTAACAGATGTTGGACTGAGAGGTAGAATTCCACGAAAAAAAAAAAAAAAACCCCCTTATCTTAATTTTCAGCAACGAAAAAAAAAAGACTACAGTTGGCAAAGGAACACATTAATTGGACAGATGATTCAGTGGTCACAAGTTATATGGAGTGATATCGTTATTCGGTAGTGATGGGCGAAAATATGTAAGACGTAGAATAGGAGAAGAGCTACATCCTGACTGCATTCAAGCAACTGTGAAGAACCCAGTTAGTGTTATGATTTAGTCATGCATGTCAGCAGATGCTATTGGTCGCCTTCATGTCATCGATGGGACACTGAATGCCAGAATATACATTGACACTATTCTAGGACCAAAACTTCTACCTTCCATCAGAGATCTCTTTCCCAACAATGCTTCGTTTATTTTTCAGCAGGATTCTGCTCCTTGTCACACGGCTAAAATATCGAAAGAGAGGCTTCGTACAAAGAGCATTAAATTGTCATGGCCAGGAAACAGTCCTGACCTCAATGCTATCGAAAATTTGTGGCACCGTTTGAAAAC